TGATGAAGTGCAACGCCTCTACTCAGTCCACACGAACAGCTTCCGGTCACAGTGCTAGCTGCTTACGAACGGAATTATTTGAGTGAGAAAAGAGAATCAAAAACGAAATTGCATCAAGTGAAACTTCATCACAAGGGTTCCTTTTATAGACTCTCTTGTGGGCTGCGGGCTAAAACCCTAATTCACATGATCCATAATAATATTATATATTATTATAATAACTATTATTATAATAAATATATTTATTTTATTATTATTTTATAACCATTATAAAATAACAATAATTATTATTATATTATCCGAATTTCTATTTTTCACTTAAGTGCACCGTACCTTACGGTGTTCCTTTGATTTCTCTATTTCTCATCAAACTGTCCTTATGTGTGTGACCCTGTAGGATTTCGTAACGTTGGTAATTATATTAAATTATATATATTTAACATAATAAACAGTAAGCGGTATCTAGCAACACATCACTGCTACCCAAGTCACGAAAATGTCATGTGATCTGACAAAACCTTTTTCGTGATAATATATGTTTGTACAATTACCCTTTTGCCCCTATGTCTATATTGAACACAAGGCATACACTGTGTCATCCTTGTCCAGTTCAATATTGGGCCCTTAGACATTTCTCCTGTTATGCAGGATTGGCAAATTCCATCTAGGACACTCATGTCCCTCAGCATGCTTCGTGGAGTGCCCATCAACTGTCTTTATGATCATCCAGTTACGGATAATGTTTGATCAGCAATAAAGCACCCGACTCTACATCTAGGGTCCATAGTGGTTTCAGGTCGAAGGGTGGTAATACACCATTATCACCATGAGAATAACTTATGACACTTTGCATAACATACTATGTAGTATTCTCATAGCGGGTCAATCCGGTATAAATATTACTCCTAATATTTATACCTATGTCAAGACTTGATAACTCTTTATCCATGATCCATGAGATGTGATCATCAGTCTATCTTCATAATAGTCTCAATGCTTTTAATGTTATCCCACTTTGCAATAAAGCTTGACTACGGATATTTTAAGAATAATGTCTTTATGTTTAATGGGATCTCATGATTAAGTCACACTTAACATTTCATTAAACAGACTAACTATTCTAGGGACTTTATTATTCTGAAAGACAAACATAATAAAGAAATGCCTTTTATTATTAAACGAATAATCTGATACAAGTACCAAAAAGTATTGGCCTCTAGGGCTTACACCAACAGTCACACCTTCTGATACAAATCAGAAACTGGATTCAGACTCTGAAGGAAAGGATGTGGATGCTACAACCTTCAAACAGTTGGTTGGTTCTCTGAGGTATCTGTGCAATACCAGACCTGATATTTGCTACTCAGTTGGGATGGTTAGTAGGTTCATGAGTAAACCTAAGTGGTCCCATTACCAAGCTGCTGTCAGGATTCTGAGGTATATCAAAGGAACTCTGAAGTATGGAGTGTTATTTCCATCTGGAGGAAATAATGAGTCAGAACTTCTGAGTTATTCAGACTCTGATTGGTGTGGAGACAGAGTTGACAGAAGAAGTACATCTGGGTACTTGTTCAAATTTCTGGGAGGTCCCATTTCTTGGTGTTCCAAGAAGCAACCTGTTGTGGCGTTGTCAACCTGTGAAGCTGAATACATTGCAGGTGCTGTTACTGCATGCCAAGCTGTGTGGATTCTGAATCTGTTGCAGGATCTGAAGATTAAGGTAGACAAACCTCTGAAGTTGATGATTGACAACAAGTCTGCAATCAACCTTGCCAGAAACCCAGTGCTGCATGGGAGAAGCAAGCATATTGAGACCAAGTATCATTTTCTGAGACATCAAGTTCAGAGTGGAGTGTTAGAAGTTGTACACTGCAGCACTCAGAAGCAGTTGGCAGATGTTCTGACGAAAGCTATCAAGACTGATCAATTTCTCAGATTAAGGGATGGAATTGGTGTTACAAGTTTTGATGGAATATGAATTAAGGGATGGTATTAGAATATTAATGATAATTCATATTTATTTAGTTGTACTATTTTCTTAGCCCATAAGTTTGTTAGAGGGTATTTTAGTATTTATCCTATTCTAGTAACCCTAGTTTTAGCTTATAAATAGGGTGACAATCATTGTAACCTAACATCATGTTTTGTAGCCGTCATTCTCTTATTAGTAATATTTCTTATTTCATCATTTATTCTATCTTTGCACCAACAGTATCCACGGAGTGTGCGGTCCTATTTTTGCGCAAGTTTGTTATTATTATTTTCAAAGTTGTGTGGCTGCTGTGAAATCATGTAATAATGGCAGTTGTGTTTGCGTGATTTGTGGTTTAAAAGCATCTGCTGAAGGTTGAACGTTGTTGTGGGGTATGCAAGAAAAGGGGTGGTGCGTGAAAGTTGGCTCTGGAATATTCATGGCTTGTGCGTGAGGAAGGCTGCTGTGAAGCTGAAGTTTTTGTTTTGCAAATCATATTGGCTTGGCAAGCATATGGGTCGTGTAGCATGAGGTTGGCCTTGGAAATTCTTGGCATCATTTTGACTTTGGTTTCATGTTATTTGGAAGGTAGTAGCAACGTGATGGCTTCCTGAAGTTTATGGTGTGGGCAAGTTATTTTCGTGGCCTGCAATATGATGGCTCCAAGGCTTATTTCATGCAGCAATTAGCTTGTAGTTATCTTCTTCTTTTTTATTTCTCGTCTTTTTGCAATGTTGTGAAGTAATGGACTCTATTCTTTAAAATATGGGCTTTTGTACAATATGATGTGAATTTAAGTTTGGACCTAATAACAAGAATGGAAAATGGATTATGATTGTTTTGGGAAATGAATGTAGAAATGGATATGGATATTAATTGAATTTTGAATAAGAAAAATGGTCTAATTGGATTTTTGAAATGGGTATTGAAAAATTGTTTAGAAATATGGTTTTATGGAAGAAAATGAACAAGAATGGATTATGAATTTGGATAATTTGAGTTAAAGATGGATAAAACTGTAAAATGGATAAAAGAGAATGGTTAACAAAATAAATGGTATATGTACATATGAAAATTGACATGGGTTATATTTTTACATGGACAAAGAAAAATGGTTCTAAAAGTGGATAACCACATTACACAATCCCAAACTTTTCACAACATCTGATTAAATGAACACAACAACCATTAACTCTAGCTTTAAATTCCAACGCCTTGAATAATAACCGCTGAAATCCACTAATGCATTAAGCTAAATAATAGCCAATTTTGTCTTGAAAACAGATTTTTGAATCTCTGGTAGCAAATGAAACAAATTTTGAATCACTTTGAATTCGTCTGAAAGAATCTTTGGAAAAATAAATCCACAGAGGAGCACAATCTGAACTAATGGATCATGATAAACCTGATCTTCTGTACCAAACCTCTTGGGTATACATTGCCTGAGAAATGAACCACTGACACAGATAACTTGCAATTGAAGTGAACTCTTGATGATTTGACCAAGATGAAGTCAAACTTTCATCTGACCCCGATCATGACTAAATAACCACACCTTACTTGAAACTATGCCATCATCCCTGATAACCCTGATCCCTTGTCCATGGTGAGAAGTAAACTCTAATCTTGTCATATAGCTTGGGCAATTGATCTTCGTCTTGAAATTTGATCACAAGAATGAGAGCATATCCTTGCTTTATCTCTACTTGATTAAAAACTTTTGGCATGAGCTTATAATCACTAATACGCACCCATCCAATCATTCAAATGATCACGGCTCGATAAATAAAATTTAAAGATAGAACAAATTTAGGGTATGACAGAAATCCTAAAGACCATTACAACAGGTCATGGACTACACTCAAGTACGTCTAAGTAAGACAAGTTTTCACCTCAATTACATGAAATATGGTCAAAAAAAATACAAAAGTGAGGAAGTCAATGAGCTGTTACGGGTGCCTGTAGCAAGTGATATGACTCGTAGCAAGAAGGAGTCACGCCCCACACAAAAGTCAAAGACCTGATACGACCCCTAGGGCCGTAGTCAAGCCTAAATATATGGCTTGCTTTCTTTTGCCTCTTGCCACCTAGTCCTACACGGTCCAATGTAATCAGACACGAAAATGTAGTATTTAACACGTTTGTAAACATACAACATTGCAAAGAATCAAGTAACAAAAACAACTTCAAATCACATTAATCCCTAGCATATATCCACATGAAATTTCAAGACATTCTCATGTTTTCATGGTAGTGAACAAGCAAGGTGTGGAATTAAGCAAGACACATAAACAGAATTTATCAAACATGATATGTTATTTGAATCAAGTAGTAAACACATAACATTCATACATAGAATCAATCACACAGAAACTTATTCCTTCCCCCAACATGCATTTAATCCTCTTAGGTCTAATTCATTTAATCCTATCTAATTGAACTCACCTCATAATTAAAATTCAAACTTGAGCCTAAAGAATGAAAGAAAGGTGATAATGATGGTGGTGAGAAGATGATGGACAAAGCTTCTTGGCACTCTTTCCTTCAAAAACCTCAAAAACTTCAACATGTGATGAAGATATGTTGGATTCGAGAACTTTCCTCCACCCCCTCCTTAGGGTTTTCACCCCCTTCTAGTTCTCTCTCCTTTCCTCTCAATTTTGAACTTAGAAAGAGAAAAAGAATGAGGAAAATGAAGGAAAACTCTTAATTTGATTTTATATAGAAGACTTGCACAAAGACACTCTTGCCCTTGTAATTAACTCTCAATTACTAATGGTAACATTGCCTCTAGATTAGGTATAAATTTCTAGTTTGTAAGAGGTTAAACCATATCAGAAACAAGATCAAGATGATTAGCAACTAGGGCATTCCATATAGTATTAGATATTTGGAAGTACGAAAAGAAAAAAAGAAATCATATATATCGTAGTAAAGTAGAAATATAGAATGAATACAGAAGTAGTTTTTTAATTTAACAAAAAAGGATTTGACTGTACAATTTCTACAGTGCAGATCCTTTGGGGTTTTACAGAGACAATCCGGAATCATCATCCTCATCAAGGGAGGAGGCGTAGATAAAATACAGAGCCCAGATAAGACCGAAAACACCAAACAAGATCCAACCAAGAAGATTATTGCTAAGCCCAAAGGGAAGCCCAGTTCCTTCAGTGCTCATTCTCTCATCTACCAAAGCCATGGCTGCTGGGCTTGACAAGGTTGCAGCAGAGATAGCTGCTATCAAGGATGCTCCCATTCCTATGTTTGGGCTGCTTTCTTGCACATCATGCTTTCCTTCAATGGAACACCTCACTCTTCCAACCTTAGCCATTGATGGCAATCCTATAGAATTATTTTTGGAATAAACTGGTTGATTCACTAGGAATATTATTTAATTCAGGATAAATAAACTTACCAACAACGGTCTGGAATGAGACTCCAAGAGATTGCTTGTGCACAAGACCCGTGCGGATGATCGAAGATGTTGAGGTGCCAGCAATAATGGTTGCCATCTTTCTTCAATATCGGTTCAGGTTTTCAAGTATGGGTAGCCAACTTCTGTCCACACTCTTGTTTATTTCATACAAATGGGAAAGTATGTCGGAATCGTTATTATTATTGGTGCATTGTCAATCTATGCACCACACACCGTGGGTAGATTGGAAAATGAAAAACCGTTAATAGCGTATCCATATCTACAAACATCCAATTAAGTTTATCCACGTGTCATGCGACACTTCACTTGCACAACCATTGCTTTCCTATCACTCGTGAATCCCCAACAATAACTAGAAGACATTGAATATTAAATTCCTGAACACCACATATCATTCCCCACGGATGAGATGTTTGGTAATAATTAATTTTACATAGTAGTAATTGGTTTGAAATTTTGTGAAAATAAATATAAATTACATTTAAAAAATGTATTCCTAAATAGTACAATAAATTAATATTACATGAATAATACTTGAATACCCACTGCTTTCTAGCCTCGTGCAAATAGGATAAAGGAGCACCAAGCAATTGGCTCAACAATTGAAATGATAGTTGTAATTTCAATAATCATGTAAATCTATCCTCCAAAGTAAAATATATCTTCGACTTTAGTCTACGCGAAATTACATAAACTAATGGTAAATAAACTATTGTGGCATACATTATTTACACAACAAATGGCAACTCCAAACAGCTAACATGTCTGTCGTAAATCATATTTTTCATCTTCATACCACTACAAATAGCTAATTTTCAGAAAGAATATGAGTAAAAATTCTGTGAGCTACAAAGGGCTTTACAAGAAGAATTTCCAAGAACAAGAAAGAATCGACTAATGCGGATAATCAATAAATGTGCCAGCAGCAAACTAGTCAATCAACACCTGCCAGGTAGAATCATTTTAGATGTTGGGCTACGCCTGGATATTGCAACGTTGCAAAAGAGGCAGGTCAAACTTGATAAATTTGAGCCAATAACTCTTGTATCTTGCCAACCCAATATCCATCCATGGCTTCCTAATTCCATCAAAGTGGATAACAGCAGCTTGCTCAATCCTATTTGTGTCAATGTTCGAGTCATAACCAAGGCCAACAATGTGCCACCGTCTGTCCAAAACCATAGTTTTGTTATAGAATGTGAGCCAGCCTAATGGCAGACTGCCGGTGCTAAACAATGGCATGTTGGAACCCTGCAATTAATTTACCCAGAGAAAATCACATCAGATTATCATTGCATCAGAACTTCATAAAAAAAATATGTTTCTGCTCCATCTTATGCAATTTAAATAAGAACTTTGACGCATTCCTCATTAGAATCAAACCTCGGTTAGCAATACAAAAACATAGATTTTTTTTTTTCTATTTTCATTTCTTATTTTTTACTTTTAATTATAGACAAATCACCTTGTTTTATACTTTTGCAAGTGAAAGCAATACAAAAATTGTTTTGCAAGTGAAACCAATACAAGGAGCAACCGACAGATTTTGGGGAGGGATGTAAAATAGATAGACCAAACAAAGAAAATAACTAGAAGCATGTGGCAAAATATATATTTCTGTAAGCATACCTTTTGCAAATATTTGTGATAGACACCAGTTAAATTATGCCGCCTCCACTGCTGCAAATTAAACAAGTTCATCCCAAATGCCCATGTACAAGCATTGACATCAAACCTCTTTGCAATGTATGGATTAGAGAAGTTTATGAACATATCCATCCTGCGAAATGAAGTTTCACCTTCCTGGCAAGTCCCAACTCCTGCGATTACTTTTTCCTTCATGTCAATATTCCATAGTGTGCTGAGATCTCGTTGCACCACCACATCATGATCAAAGAGCAGAATCTTATTTAGAGTGGGGAAGATATCTGGCAGGTAGAAACGGAGGTAGTTCAATTCAGAAGTATATCTTGGATCACTGGAATTTTGTTTCTTGAATGTATTATACTTGGAAAACCACTCAAAACTGTCTATGTTCTGTATGTGGATGGTGGCTTTCCCAGGAGGGTTTAATAAGAACCACATTGAGATTGAAGGAAAGTTGAGTGAATTGGTCACTATATGTAAAACAATTTTTTCCGGTTCCTGCAATTTAGAAGTCGTTGTCAATTTTTATTGCCATTATATATATATACAAACTTAATACTTCTAAGGAGATATCATATAGCTTTCCTATCTCATTGTGTTTCATGTATTGGCTAAGACTTAGAGACTTCTATAAATTGTTTAAGATTAACAATCTAGAAGAGGTCATCCTCCCTGGAAAATCACTTTTTTTACTATGATGCATAGGTACAGACGGGTACGGTACCCGGTATTGCAAACGGCATTTTAGTAAAAATCAAAGTACAGGTACATCAGTAGAAAATAAGAATTTGTCAATAACATGTATTAATAGATAACTAAATTGTTCAATTTACAATAAAACATCAACATCACCATAAAACTTCAAATAATAAATAGTGTTATGTTATCATAACAAATAAACGGAAATACATAAATATATTATATCAATATATGAGAATCATAAATTTCATTCGTAACAAAATAATGAAACAAACATAAGTAGCACGAAACGGTACGTGTACGCGTGAGTACCCAGTATTGGTACATCACCATTTTAGAAGTACCCGTCACCATTTTAGAAGTACCCGTGCTTTAGAGCTTTTTCTTCATTATTTAAGTTTGCATGTGATATTATCAGAAACAAGAAATAACAAAAGTTACAAAATAGTTCTTCAAGAGCAATAGAGAAATTGAGAAAGGTGTAAATGTCAAAAATGAAAATTACTCTGTATGATCTTGAATATAAGTAAAAAAAAATATTCACCGGGTGGTTTCAAATATGTGCAAATTTAACTAAATTCGCTATATTTAATGACGATATTCTTAAAATAGCTTAAATTGATACAAGGAACAAACTCTTATAGAGATTTTGTCTTCGTTCTATCCTAATGCGGCCACCTCCAATAATCTTAATCCCAAAATATTTGGGTGTACATCCCATAATATTTGGGTGTCGTTCGGTCATGTCATGTCCATAGTGATGCAGGTGGAAACTTTATTTTAAAGCCTTAAAATGTGTCTACAAGATATTCTTCTATCCAAAGAACACAAATGCTACCACCCTCCATCACATAAACTTTGTCCCTTTTACTTCCTGGCCTTACTTTCAGACCAGAAGTTGAGGTTCAAACTAGATGTAGCAATGTTGAGACTTAAATTGATTCTAAAAACGATGGAAATGTTGGAACTGGGATAAGATACGAGAAGAATATAGTACATACAAGGAAAAATGACATTCATATTGGATCTTAGCAAAACGTAAAGTTGGTAGCTAAAAGATTCATTCAAACCTATGGAGTGGATTACTTAAAAACATTTTCTACAATTGCAAAAATAAATACATTAGAGAGCTATTATCCCTAATAACTAATTGTGGTTGGAATTTGCAAAAATTTGATATAAAAAATGTCGACCTACATGGAGAACTTGAAGAAATTTACATGAAAATGTCACTTGGATATGGTGAACAAATTGCTGCCATCACTGTTTGCAAGTTTAAAAAAGGCATTATATAGACTAAAACAATTACGAGGAACATATGTGGTTTGAAATATTCACTAAAGCTTAGATTTGAACTTCAAACAACACTAAAGAGGCCATACTCTATTATCAAACAATGAGTCAAAGGGAATAAGTGTTATTGGTGTATGTGGACAACATTATAATGATAGGTGATGACGAAGTGGAGCAACAATTGTTAGATCAACACTACGCCAGAAAAAAATTAAGATTGAGACCTTGGAAAAAACAGAAGTATTTTCTTGAAATTGAAGTGGCATACTCTAAAAAGGAAATTATGATATTCCAACAGAAATATAGTACAGATCTTTTGAAAAAGGCTGACACCTGCAAGTACAGAATATTGAAGAAGATATTGTAATTGATAAGGAAATGTATCAAAGACTAATCGACAAACGTATATACCTATCATATTTACAAGGTATGATGTTGCATATGCAGTAAAGCTTAGTCAGTCAGTTAATACACCAACCAAAAGAGGCCCGATTATAAGCTACACCAATCAAAAGGGACTCATTTATAAGCTGCATTCCAAAATAGGTAATGTTTGAAAGAGATTTCAGGTAGAGGAATTCTGTTCAAACATAATGAAAGTACGGGTTTGAAGTATATATTGATACTGACTATATAGAGTCAATTGTAGATAAGAGACCAACTACAAAATATTACACTTTTTGAGTGAGAATCTTATGACTTGGAAGAGTAAAAACAAAATGTGATATCAAGATCTGGTGTTTGAAGCAAAGTTCAGGAATGTGGGAAGGAATAAGTGAGCTCCTATGGTTGAAAATCATCTTGGAGACTTGAGGATAAAGAGGAAGAACCAATGAGACTTTATTATAATAAAAATAAAAAAAAATCTACTATTTGCATTCAATGTAGCATGATAGAACAAAAAAGTGGTCTAATCTTCGCTCCATATATCTCTTTCCAAAATAACTTTGCATATCTTCTAACTAAGAAGTACAAGAATAACTTTGAAAAGATCATTTCTAAGCTGAAAATGGTAGATATGCATTCGGCAGGGGGAATGTTGTAAATAGTATACTTTATTATTGGTAGTAGTAATTTGTATTCAGTTCATTAGTTCAATAGTTAAGCCCATTAAGTTAGCATAATCTATATAAATATATTAGTGCTTGTAAATTATTCATACTTAAAATATTCAATTTACACAGTTTATTAGAGATGCTTAAAAATATGAAAGATGGTTGTGTATCTTCTTGTGCTTCTATTGATTTGACTACTTGATTGTGCAGTCTACGGAAAACTACAACAACAACTAAGCTTTATTCCACTAGGTGGAATCGACTACATAGATCAATTTTCAGCATAATGTTCTATCAAGGACCATGCTTCTATCCTTACTACAGAATCTATAGGTCTTCTCTCTACAAGTCCAAACCACCTAAATCTATTTTCCACCATCTTCTCTACTATAAGCGCTACCTGGACACACTAATATTTTCATCTCTAATTTTATCATGTCGAGTCTTACCATACATCCACCGCAACATCCTCCACTCTGCTACACTTATTTTATTCTCGTGTTGATTCTTAACCGCCCAACATTTTATCCTGTACAAAATTGCAGATCTTATCGCAATCCAATAAAACTTCCCCTTCAACTTGAACAGTACATTTGCATCACATAAAACACTTGATACCTTTCTCCATCTCAACCACCCAATTTGAATTTGATGGTTTACATCCCTTTCTATTTGTCCATCATTCTGTATTACGGACTCATGATATTTAAACCATGTGACTTTAGGGATAATATGGTCTCCAACTTTCACCTCTAGGTTAAAAACTCTTCTTTTGTTGAACTTACATTCCATATACTCCGTCTTACTTCTGCTTAGACAAAAACCATGTGTTTCTAAAACTTGTCTCCAAGTTTCCAATCTCATTTAAATCTTTCTTCAACTCTCCAAGAAGGACTATATCATATGCAAAAAGCATGCATCTCGGTGCTAGCTCTGGGATGTGTTCCGTGAGTACATCCAAAATTAAGGTAAAAAGGTAGGGGCTTAGGTTTGAACCTTGACGCAAACCAATTGTAATGGGAAAATCGCATGTCTTTCCATCCTGTGTTTGAGCACTAGTCAATACCTCTTCATACATATATTGGATAGCTCGAATATATGCAATCTCTCTAGACACTCTACCATAAGCCTTCTCCAAGTCAATAAAAATTAAATGCAAGTCATATTGGTCCATCCGATACCGCTCAATCATAGCAACCGAGATTTTGCGGTTAAGATCATGGATTCTTGCATCTCCCAAATTGTTTTTTCTAAAACCTTTATTGTCTCCTTGAATTATGATGGAGAGGTCAGTCTGGCTGTCATTTATTCCATGAAATTCTTCATGATTGATGCTAAATTCATGTCATCCATTGTTTTTTCTAAAACCTTTATTGGCTCCTTGAATTATGATGGAGAGGTCAGTCTGACTGTCATTTGTTTCATGAAATTTTTCATGATTGATGCTAAATTCGTGTCATCCATTGTTTTTTCTAAAACTGTTATTGACTCCTTGAATTATGATGAGATGTCAGTCTTCTGGCTGTCATTTGTTCCATGAAATTCTTTCATGATTGATGCTAAATCCGTGTCATCCATGTAGGCTCGCAATACCAAGTTGTTATAGTCCCTGGTTTTGGGAATGTGTTGACATAGTCTTAGACGCGGTAGAACCTTTCCTTCGGCCTATGGTAAAGGCAAAAGCGAACTCATCCTTGCTAGAGTTTCTTCTTAAATTCACAAGTTTTTTAATAATTATTGATAATTTTTATTCTCAATTATAATGCCTTTAAAGAGGCTTACAGTAGAAGAAGAGTCCTAACTAGACCAGGTTAATAACTAACTTTTCCCTAAACTTACTGTCACTAAAATTTAAATGATAGTATCCTATTTAATAGGAAAAACCAGTTCTAATCCAAAATCTTACCTTAAAGTACTGAAATTCAAATTTAAATATTATGTTATGCTAACTTATTAAAAGTAAATTAAATAATAAATCTAAATCAGTACAATTAATCCTGATCAGCAAAACTAGAGGTCCATATCATAAATTTACAGACATTGAACGTGCTAGGACAGTTTTTCTTTTTCATAAGTTACATCAGGGTTCAACAAAAGAAAATGCACAGAACAAATGAATAAAAAGCAAGAAAGGTTAATTCATTTTTGAAAAACTTATCAATATTTACCTTGGAATTAGACACAGTTGAGTTAACAACCACTCCACATGCCAGAACATTGTCAGAGAAGACAGCATAATGATAAAGTTCCGGATCATGAATCTTATTTTCATTTGGCAGCTTTCTATCCTCAGGTCTCCGGGAAAAGTAATCAGCAGTTAGTTGCATAGAAAGACAGTGAAGACCTTTAGGGGTGGTCCTAGCAGCAAGATGAACAAGATGGGTTACTTCGTGTTGCTGAGAACGAACTTGTTCTTCAGCGTTATCATTCATCGCACGGAGCTTAGCAGCCATAGCAGAGCAGTCCGGGAAAGCAAGGTTGGCTTTAGACAGTGAACCCTCCATGTGTCTCATTTTCTGCAAAACTCTGTGAACTTCACTTGTTTTCAGATTGAAAATATTCTCGTGTTTTTTTAACAACATATGTCCCCTAAAGTCTACACAAATGTTCTCTCTATCATTAATTTTGTACTGAAAGACAACGTCATATTTTCGCAGATTGGAATTTGAAATTTTGAGAAAAAGTAATGTTTTTATCGCTCCAATTTTAACTTCCTTTACTCAAGTATGTACATTTGATTTGCTTTTATCAGCATGGGGGATATGACGGTGCAAATAGAAGCAAATTTAAACACACTGGGAGTCAGCTAAGAAAATTAATAGTAGTGGTGAGGTGGAAGAAAAGGTTATATTATTTACAGGACCCGAGCATTAGTTTTCTCTACAGGCTAGCACATTGTGTTTTAGCAGATAAAAGTAATAATTGCTGAAGAAAATGCAAGTCACAGAATTACTGAGAATAATTACCTCTTTGAAAGATCTGAATCTTTGGTAGCTTCTCCAACAGCACGTCCCATCTCTCTAATTCTCATCCTCAACTCCTTCACCAAGTGTGAGGTGCTGCTTGGTGGAGACAATCCCAAGTATGCTCTGGCTCTGATAATTTGATCCTTAATCTCCAAAATTGTCTGATTTGTCACTTTGCGAGACCGATGGTGTGAAATATGACGATGTTGGCTTACTGTCAAACCAGATTGCTTTTCAATAACTTTAATAATATTCTCAACTTTCTTTCGTTGAAAGGGAGTTTGCATATTCTGATTGTTCATAATTGTTGTATTAAATTTCTTCTGAAAATAAAAGCAATTTCAAAAGGTTAATACTAGATTACATGAATAAGTTTCTCCACAATCTATTTTGCAATTATACATTGAACATGTGTACACAGAGAAAGTTTTCCATCTACAATCATTATTGTTTCTCTGTATATAATATAATCCACTTCCCTGCCAAGTAAAAATACATGCGTCTGGGTAAAAACATGGAGATGCAAAACAAATACAACCTCTAATCTCATATATTAATTGTTGAAATTACTTTGATATCTTTGCTATTTTTACAAGAAATACAATTATTCTCCATGAGTAGGTGGAAAAACATTTAATGTCAGGATTATATTTATAATGAACTTTCAAAATCAAAACATTAAGTAAAGTTCCTTGGCCTTGATGATTTTCATGTTTTCTTATACAAAGGAAAACAAACTATTGTTTTTAGAAATGGAATACATAAATAACATGTGATAACACATGACACTTATAACTATTTCCTCGATCTGTTTCAAATTACTACAATAGCAAATCAGCTTGCATCTGTACGTTAAGCCAAAAAAGTAACCAGTAAAACTTTTTATAGTCTCCAATAAAACTAGGTTGGCTTCAATTAAAAAAGCTGATCCCGTTAGAAACTGACCAGAAACTCCAGTCCTCTGCTTAAATCATAAGTTTCAAGCATAGTAAAGCTCATGAATTACTAATTTGTCAAAGTCCAGACCTTCCCAGTTAGCTAGCCATTAGGCATGGGTAAAACCAACCACTAGGGATGAATTCAGATTTGAAAGTGTTCAAGCAAAATGGAGAGCAATCAAAGGAATCAATTATCAATCTCGAGTTGATTGCCCAACAAAATCTCAGAATGAAAGCAACATGAGGTTATGCTTATTGATAACTTCAACATGGGATTATGCTTTTTGATAACTTCAACATGGGATTATGCTTTTTGATAACTTCAAATTTAAATTATAACATCAGCAAGTAATAAAGCATTCCTGTCTACAATGACACATGTTAAAGAGCAGTTAAGTAAACCTGTATTCTCATAATAATATTAGCACAAAGAAACCAGATAATAAGTGCAATCTATAGGAGGTCAAGCAAAAAAGTCCAAGTCTAAGATCCAATTTCATATCATAAATAGTATTTGGAGAAATTGATGTCCAAAAAATAAAAAACTCAGAACAGCTCATATATCTGATAAGTTTTGTTATGTCAATATGGTTCATTTAACTGTCACTAATGCGGTTCCATTTGGAGAGAGATAGATACAGTGGGGTTTGGAAAATTTATAAAAACAATTAAAGATGGTGGGGTCCACTTGATGGAGACATCCACTATCTACTTTTTACATCCATTTATCTCACAATGGATTCCTCTATTTCTTAACATACCGCTGCAACTTCCCCTAGTTAGCAACCTCACTTTAAACTTTGACTTTTAGAACAGGAAAATAGCAATCATGTGGCCTCTAGTTTATAATAAAGGAAATCCAAAAAGAATTAAATAGTCCTAACCTGATCTCCACCCGTGGAGGATAATCCTTTCCGCTGAGCTTCCTGGTCTTCTGTTTCATCATGATCGAATTCTGAAAGTTGAATATAACTTTAAAAAATTGCCAATAACCACAATATTGGGCACTTCAGTGGCATTATATTGACCAAACAAATGAAGAAGATCACGGAGAGATGCAAACCTTTCTTTTCTAAAAAATTATTTCTGGACCCCTCAATTCTAGACTCCAGAGGATCAATATTTTTTTCCGAAGGGTCTCTAACCGTGGAACCAAAATCATTTCCTTTATAACCAACTTGCTTTGCCTCTTCTAATTCTTCCGAGTCTTCCTGAATTGCAAAGAAAAAGGGCCCAAATCAAAAGCAAAGTTTAGATGTATTTATTCTCCAAATCAATTCAGGAAAACAAGAAAGATTTCTAAGTATTTAGCACACAATGGCATAAACTGTAATCAAATATTGCATTATCTGTTCTCTACTCTATAGCATTTAATCTTAAAAGGATCTATTCTATATTTCTGCAACGAACAAATAACAATCAACTCAATTTCCAACGGAAAGCGTTCAAACTTTAACTCGAAAACATTTTCTATTGAACTTTAAAGAAATGAAGTGATTTTGACAGACAAGAAGATTACTAGTATATCTTAACATAGCTCTGCAACTTCCTTTAGAGAACAATTTCATGTTTAACTTTAACTTTTAGAACAGGAAAATAGCAATTAAGCAACTCCCAGTTTATAATGCCAAAATTTCAAAAAGTAGTCCAAACCTGATCTCCATCTCTGGAGGACAATCCTTTCTGCTGAGCTTCCTGGTCTTGTGTTTCATCATCATAGTCGAATTCTGAAAGTTGATTACAATTAAAATTTTGACCAGTAACAACAGTGTTGAGTATTTCAGTGGCATTATGTTGAACATACAAATTAAGAAGTGCACGGAGGGATACAAACCTTTTTTTTCCAAGTAATTATTTTTGGACCCCTCAATTCTTGGGTCCACAGAATCATCATTTCTTTCCGCATCGTCGCTATTCTTGGAAGCAAAATCATTTTCTTGATAAACAACTTGCTTTGCTTCTTCTAATTCTTCCGAGTCCTCAGAATCATTATTTTTCTTCGAATCATCACTATTCTTGGAACCAAAATCATTTTCTTTATAAACAACTTGCTTTGGCTCTTCTAATTCTTCCAAGTCCTCCGAATCAATATTTTTTTCCGTGTCATCGCTATTCTTGGAACCAAAATCATTTTCTTTATAAACAACTTGCTTTGGCTCTTCTAATTCTTCCAAGTCCTCCGAATCAATATTTTTTTCCGTGTCATCACTATTCTTGGAACCAAAATCATTTTCTTTGTAAACAACTTGCTTTGCCTCTTCTAATTCTTCCAAGTCCTCGGAATCATTATTTTTTTCCGAATCATCGCTATTCTTGGAACTAAAATCATTTTCTTTATAAACAACTGGCTTTGCCTCTTCTAATTCTTCCAAGTCCTCAGAATCATTATTTTTTTCCGAATCATCGCTATTCTTAGAACCAAAATCATTTTCTTTATAAACAACTTGCTTTGGCTCTTCTAATTCTTCCAAGTCCTCAGCATCATTATTTTTTTCCGAATCATCGCTATTCTTAGAGCCAAAATCATTTTCTTTATAAACAACTTGCTTTGGCTCTTCTAATTCTTCCAAGTCCTCAGAATCATTATTTTTTTCCGAATCATCGCTATTCTTAGAACCAAAATCATTTTCTTTATTAACAACTTGCTTTGGCTCTTCTAATTCTTCCAAGTCCTCAGAATCATTATTTTTTTCCGAATCATCGCTATTCTTAGAACCAAAATCATTTTCTTTATAAACAACTTGCTTTGGCTCTTCTAATTCTTCTGTGTCTACCTGAATTGCATGAAAGGGCCCAAATCACAAGCAAAAGTGAGATGTATGTATACTCCAAATCACAAAAGGGAAAACAAGAAATGATTTTAAGTATTTAACACATGACATCGTAAATTTGAATCAAATATTGCATTACCTGCTCTATAGCATTTAACTTTACAGGATCTGTTCTATATTTCTGCAACAAACAAATAAACAATCAAAATTCAATTTACGAAGCAGAACATTCAAAGTTGTAGAAAGTTGAATTGACAGCTGAGGTTTTACAACAACCAAAAATCCCCAAGTTAAAATAACTAAACTGAAATTTCATATCATGTTAACAATTATTAAACCTTAACAGAGCACAGGAAATTTCAATTCACCAACACTACAAATAAATCAAATAGCTAATTGAAAAAGAAAAAAAAAATAACAGAAGGTTTTACAATATTATCCACCACTAAGATTCATCACAAGCTTGTTAAACTATATATAAATTAAGATAAGTAAAATAAAAAGAAATTGATCAGGTTTGAGACTCAAGATTCTTACAACACTGGATAAATCATCAGGAAACTCTCTCCGACCTGAAATGGAATTCAATTCAATAAAATTAAAAATCAATAAAACACCGATGTAATGAACAAAAATTGATACAGAGAAGTCGGTGAAGAAGAGTTTAACCATCGCGAGTTACAAGTTGAAGCCTGTGGGAGACGAAAATGACCGGAGCGACGACGGAGAGAGAAAGGAGACAGAGGAGCAAAGTCCTCTGCCGCTGGTGAAATTGATTCATCGATGATCGATCGCGAAGCACATTTCACGGAAATTAGATCAGAGAGAAAATTGGATGCGTTGAATATAAGGAATCTAGAGAGGGATTGGCTAGGGTTTCTTGTAACCGTCAATATGAGTTATTCGGTTTTTAGAGAGAGAAAAAGAAAGAGTGGAAGCAGCTACATCCATCATCCATGTTCTCTCCCCTGAAAGAAATGCCTCGTTGAATTTCTTACTCTTTGTTGATTATTTTTTTCGTACTATTATTCTTTTTCTATTTTGGAATTATATACTATCTCGAGATTTGCACCGCCAAGTAGGTTGACACGGGATGGGAAGTGGGGATAAAATGGAGTAATAGAAGGTGTACTTTTTATTTTTGTGAATATTTTTATTACAGATATTTAGCTGTAATTTTTGAACAGTTGTATAGTTGTAGAGATGAAGGCGATAGATACGTGCTGTCATTGATGTGAGTATCCGACGGTCTGTTGCTCGTATGATACATTTTCACATCTGCCATGTCATGGATCATTGACCTCTAGCAATAACATCATGATTCACGATATTGAAATGGTAATGAAATTAGCATAAACTGAAGAAAATTGAACTTACCTATTGCATTGACTTTGATGTGATACTCCTTTCTCAGTTAGATTTATTTTTCACTATATTACACCGTTATCACATTATGGGTATGTTTGATTGTAATGAAAAGTTGTGAAGAGAAAAACATGTGAGAGAGTGGAAGAAGAGAGAAATAGGTAAAAGGTAGAATACATTTGAAGTATAGTTTGTTATAAGAGAAAAATAAAAGAAATATTAAAAAAAAAAAAAGTGATTGATTAAGTACGAAAGTATTAAAATATCTCTGATTTAAAAATTATTTATTAAAAATTAAATACAATTTAATTTTTTAGTTATATATGTTAATTTAAATAATTAATCAAATCATTATTTAAAATAAATAAATTATTTATTTTAATTTAACGTATTATTTTTTAAATGCATACTACAATTTTGAAGTTAGTAATAACTTGTTTTTCAATTTTTTTTATAAAAAACATAACAAAGAGATGTGAATAAGAGGTATAATTAGAAAAATGTTTCAATGTCCTCTTTCTACTCGGCTTTTGTGAGAAGAAATGAAAAGTAGTTAGATCCCACATAATTTATTCTCTTTTCTACATTTCTCTCATGCACCAAGCAAGAAATGAAAAGTAGTTAGATCCCACATAATTTATTCTCTTTTCTACATTTCTCTCATGCACCAAGCAAGAGAAATGACTTTTTTCTCTACTCTCTCTTCTGTCTTTCTCTTATCAACTTCATGTTTACCAAACATACCTTATAGGAGGGTTATAAACAATTACGTACAAGCATGCACACTAAGGTTTTAATAAAATATCAAAAAAAATCTTAAAAACAGTATAAAATACAGTGTAGTGTTAAAAATTAGTGTGAACTTAATATTTTTAAATTGGTTTATAGGATAATCTCTTGTTATTTTTTATAAATCACTTTAAATAAAAAGTTGTATTAAAATATGTCATTTTATATTATCGATGAATTATTAATGATTTTTTCTTTTATGTCATTAAGTATTTGTTGCTATCTCTTTTTACAATGTTTTAAGTTTATTTTTCTAATTAATTAATAAAAAATAATTTTATAAAATTACTCTTAATTTCACTTTTCATGTAAAATTAATTATACTTTTTAATATCGGGCGAAAATTTCAAAATAATTTATATTAAAAAATAGAAGTGTTTTACCTCAGTAGTAAGTCGGGTGCATAGGGAGATATATAAGCATGTTAATACACGTTATTCTAAGCACGAGGCATGTAGGGCATAATATTTTAGTAAGTCGGGTGCATAGGGAGATGTATAAGCATGTTAATACACGTTACTCTAAACACGAGGCATGTAGGGCATAATATTTTGTCTCTGAAGAAAATTAGTCACATAAGATAAGCATAAGCATATCGGTACATAGTCTCCCAAACACAGGATGTGTAGGGGCGGTGTATTTTTTTTTCTTTTCCTTTTAACTCGTTTTCTATTTTATTAGGGCATTGTGATTATTATATCTTTCACTTTAAACTAATGTAATAATTACAACCTTTTGGAACTTAATATCTAGACTTGATGACTAGAGTTTCAAGTTTTAGTATCAATAGCTTTAAATGAAATGTCAGACTTTGTCGACCACGTTTTTTTCCATAGTCTCGGTTTATAAATGTTCAGGTTTTTATTTGTTTTTGTTACTTTGATTTGTATCCTCCAAAGTTGTTGAAGAAAATATGATTGTTATATATGTTTTTCCTCTTGCGCTCGGGTATTTCTTCTTTTTATCCTTTCATATTTTCTTTCTTTGTTTATCTAGGCATGGTTATTTATTACGGAATGTGATTCTTTGGAAAAAGGCTTGAACCAGAAACATATTCTGAGAGGTGCAAGTCATGGATTTATTGTTTAAGCATCTCGAAACGGGGAGATGGTGAGGTATATTGCAATTTTGTAGAAAAGGAAATGTTAGGTGGCTATGAGAGTTTATCTAGTGATAGTGATGACCTCTCTAGTGATAATAGTGTTGATATAGTGTCTAATTCCCCAAGATTAGTGAGGTTGCTTATGGATGTCACCACTTCAAGAAATAACATTTTCTATAATGAAGTAACAAGAATTGATTCCCTCTATAATGGTAAAGATTGGTTCTGAACTTTTCGAGTTGCATTAAATTTATCTAACACGGGAAACGAGACCTATGTAGTGTTAGCACTTTATTTGGATGGTGAAAAGGTGTGTGTGTGTGTGTGTGTGTGTGTGTGTGTGTGTGTGTGTGTGTGTGTGTGTGTGTGTGTGTGTGAGTGTGACGATCGAGAAGTGCGGGCGGTGAAATTGATTAAGGGGATGTTGACTACCTTTCCTATATGGAACTGCTGGAATTGATTAAGAAAGAGAAATATGTAGACACTTAAGTGTATCTGGTATTTGAACCCTAGGATGAGCTTTACTCGTGGCCTTAGAAAACTTAATTGTGACAATGACGTGTTGTAACTGATAAGAGATGTTGATGGTTGCGACATTGCAGATTTGTATGTTGAGCATAACATTAGTGAACTTGACATTGTAGATGAGTTAGAAACAAGGCATGACATAATTTCTGATGATGATGTTATTGAAGTGAATGATGAAACTGGTGTGGACACGGATGTTGAGGTGAATGATGAAGCTGGTGTGGACAAGGATGTTGATAAGAGTGTTGAGTAAGATGGTGAAGATGGTGTGGACAAGGATGTTGATGAAGAAAATGTTGAAGTGGACAATGAGTTTGAAAGGGATGATAAAATGGACAATGAATTTGAAGAGAATAGTGACCATGAGTTAGCTTGGAAAACTGTATTACCTAAAGATACAACTAAACCATTTTGAAAGACTTTGATCATGAGGAGGATTATGTCCAACTTCAAACCCCACGTGAGAGTGAATATGATGAAGACTATGAGAGATTCCTAACCTATAAGGTTGGTGAGGGAACCAAGTTTGAGTTAGGCATAAGATTTAACACAAAGGATATGGTAAAGGATTTTATAAAGGAGTATGCCATGTTAGAGAAAAAATGTTTACCTACATAAGAATGATGGAAAGAGGATGGTTGTTAAGTGTATTACTGACTGCAAGTTTTATATGAGAATCAGAAGGAGGGTTGGTAACCAGTATTGGTGAGTAGTATCTTTGTATGATGAACACACATGTTATAGAAAACCCAAAATAGATAGGCTAAGACTGAATAGTTGGGAAAGCAATTTAGCCATGTATTAAGGCATAGTCTTGATCTGAAGTTAACTGGTCTAGTAGCTATGAGATTTGAGAGATGGGGTGTTAAATTGTCAAGTGATCATGCTTATAGAGCTAAGAGAAGAGCAATGCAGATTATTCAAGGATGAGAGAGGGCAATGTTGAGGATCAAAGGGTTGAATGAAGCTGCTTAGAATGACATGAAACAAGTGCCAGCTGAATATTGAAGCAGGTCACATTTTAAGACTTACTCTAAATGTGACCTTCAGGTAAATAATATGTGTGAAACTTTTAATATAGTTATCCTAGAATATAAGGATAAACTAATTATCACCCTTTTAAAAGGGATTAACCATTACTTGACTAAAAGGATTACCCATCAAAAAGAATTAATGGTTAAATATACTGGTAATTTGTGCCCTAGAGTTTAGCTTGTGCTTGAGAAGAATAAGAGATTTGCTGAAAGTTGGACTCCAACTTGGCATGGTGATGATGACATGGTAATATTTGGGGTAACAAATGGTTAGAAACATATTGTGTAAACCTTAAAGATGGAACTTGTACTTGTAGGAAATGGAACTTGACTGGTATCCCTTGTAGCCATGCAATATCATGCCTATGGAACAACAAAAAAACAACCTGAAGAATATACATCTGATTATTATAGGTATGCACCACAAATGGTATAGAAACATTTTGAATTATGTTGTAATTGACTTGTCAGATTTCTGAATATTATGTTGTAATTGTGCAGGAAATCAACTTTTTAAAAAACCTAGTTACACATCATCTTTCCAACTAATGGTCCCTAACTATTCCTTGTTGATGATGTACTTGTAGTCAATCCACCTGTGATGAGAAGTGAAATTGGATGCCCTAAGAAGATGAGAGACAAAATAAATGATGAACCAAAAAATCCACATGTTTTGTCAAGGAAGCTTCAAATTGTAACATGTCACAAATATGGATCCATGGGCCATAACATGAGAACCTGTAGGGGAAAAAGGGCAGAAGATAGGGCCATTCCAAAGGGAGGCAACAAGCCCAAGAAACAAAAGACTACCAAGGGTGGCAAAAAGGCCAAGAAGAAAAAGGGTACAAAGGGAAAGGAAAAGAACAAGAAGTCAAAGGGTGCAATACAGACTACTCAAGAGATTAGATCCTGCTCACTAATATTATTCCATGGTAAAATTTATCATCATCTTCAAGAACATGA